GTGGTTTCTCTTGCTGCGCAGAAGCTTTTTAATAAAATGAGATCCCAGTTGTTGATTCTTTGTGCTAGTTCCCATGCTACTGAGGTTTTGTTCATAAAGTCTTTTCCTACACCAATGTTTTCAAGAGTTCTACCTAACCTATCTTCTAGCAGGTTTAGCGTTTCTGTTTTAATATTTAGATGTTGGAGGGCTGGGGATTTAGCTCAGTGGTTCCGCTGCCTGCCTCACAAGTACAAGGTCCCGAGTTCAATCCCCAGTACCAAAAAAAAAAAAAAAGAAGTTAGTCTAGATGTTGGATCCATTTTAATTTTAGCTTAGTGCATGGTGAGAGATATGGGTCTAGTTTTAATCGTTGGCAAGTTGAAACCCAGTTTTTCCAACACCATTTGTTAAAGAGGCTATCTTTCCTCCACTGAGGGTGTTTGGCTCCTTTGTCAAAGATGTGGTAGCTAAGTATGTCTGGGGTTGTTCCTGCATCTTCTAATCTGTTCCATTGATCCTCAAGTCTGTTTCTTTGCCAGTACCATGCTGTTTGTATCACAGTGGCTTTGCAATATTGTTTCAAGTTGGGGATTGTGATACCCTCTGCCTTATCTCTGTTGCCTAAAATTGCTTTTGCTATTTTAGGTCTCTTCTGGTCCTGGATGAATTTTTGGATTGTTTTCTCTAATTCCGTGAAATATGCAATTGGAATTTCAATCGGGATTCCATTGAATCTATATAGCAGTTTTGGAAGTATGGCCATTTTCATTATATTGGTTCTTCCAACCCAGGAGCAAGGGATTTCTTTCCATTTTCTAATAACCTCTTCAATCTTTTTTTTTAGAGTGCTGTAGTTTTACTTCCTTCGTTAGATTTATTCCTAGGTATTTCATTTTTTTGGATGCTATTGTGAAAGGAGTTGTTTCTCCAGTTTCTCGCTCAGTGCCTCTGTTGTTCGTGTACGGGAAGGCTATTGATTGAGTATTGACCTTGTATCCCGCTGCTCTACTGAATTTGGTTATTAAGTCTAGAAGACTTTTGGTGGAGTTCTTGGGGTCTTCCATATAGAGTATCTTGTCATCTGCAAATAATGACAATTTAACTTCTTCATTTCCTATCTTTATTCCTTTTATTTCTTTCTCTTGTCTAATTGCTGTGGCTAATGTTTCCAGAACTATATTGAACAGGAGTGGTGACAGTGGACATCCTTGTCTTGTTCCTGATTTTAGCGTAAAAGATTTGTTTTTGACCATTTAGTATGATGTTGGCTGTTGGTTTTTCATAGATGGCTTTTATCAGGTTGACATAAAGACCATCTATTCCAATTTTCTGTGGGGTTTTAATCATAAATGAGTGTTGGATTTTATTGAATGCCTTTTCTGCATCTATTGAGATGATCATGTGGTTTTTGTCCTTGGCTCTGTTAATATAGTATATTACATTTATTGATTTGCATATGTTGAACCATCCCTGCATCCCTGGGATGAATCCTACTTAGTCAGGGTGTATGATCTTCTGCATTCTGTTTGCCAGTATCTTATTGAGGATTTTTGTGTTTATGTTCATTAGTGAGATTGGCCTATAGTTCTCTTTTTTGGTTGGGTCTTTCTCTGCTTTGGGGAATCAAAGTGATGCTTGCTTCCAGAAATGAATTTGGGAGTTCTGCTTCTCTTTCAATTTCATTGAAGAGTTTAAACTGTGGTGGCAATAGCTCTTCTCTAAATGTCTTGTAAAATTCATCAGTGAAGCCATCAGGACCTGGGCTTTTCTTTGCTGGTAAGTTTTTAATTACATTTTTAATTTTGTTGATTGATATTGGGTTGTTTAGAATTTGTATATCTTCTTCATTGAACTTTGGTAATTCATATGTATCTAGAAATCTGTCTATTTCTTCTGGGTTTTCCATCTTATTGGAGTACAGGTTCTCAAAGTAGGTATTGATGATCCTCTGGATATCTGCTGGGTCTGTTGTAATTTAACCCTTTTCATTTCTAATTGCACAGAATTGGGCCTTTTATTTCCTTTTTTTTTTTGATAAGGTTGGCTAAGGGTTTGTCGATTTTGTTTATTCTTTCAAAGAACCAACTCTTTGTTTCATTGGTTTTTTGTATTGTTCTCTTAGTCTCCATTGCATTGATTTTTGCTCTGATCTTTATAATTTCCTCCCTTGTACAAGCTTTGAGTTTGTCTTGTTCTTCTTTTTTAGACGCTTGAGGTTCAGGATTAGGTTGTTTATTTGAGCTCACTCTGTTTTCCTAATATGGATATTCACAGCTATGAATTTCCCTCGTAAGATTGCTTTCATTGTGTCCCATAAATTCTGGTATGTTGTAATGGCATTGTCGTTTAATTGTAGAAACTGTCTAATTTCTTCTTTAATTTCCTCTGTGACCCACTGGTTGTTCAGATGGGTGTTATTCAATTTCCATGTGTTTATGAAGTTCTTACGGTTTCTTTTGCAATTGATCTTCAATTTCATTGCACTATGATCTGATAGTATACAGGGGATAACTTCAGTTCTTTTGCATTTACTACTTACACATGTTTTATGAGCTAGTATGTGGTCTACTTTGGAGAACAACCATGTGCAGCTGAAAAGAATGTATATTCTGATTTTGTGGGGTGGAACACTCTGTAAACATCTATTAAGTCCATTTGTTCAAGAGTTTAGTTGAGTTCTAGTTATTTTGTTGTTGTTGTTTTTCCAGTTGATCTATCTATTTGTGATTGTGGAGTATTGAGGTCCCTCACTACTATTGTAATAGTGTTTATTTGATTTTTCATGTCTGTTAATATTTGTTTTATATAGTTGGGTGCACTAGTATTTGGTGCATATATATTTATGATTATCATCTCTTCCTCTCAGATTGTTTCCAAGGATATAGTGACCTTCTTTGTCTTAATTAGTCTTGGTTTGAAATCCACTTTGTCTGCAAATAGGATAGTTACCCCTGCTTTTTCTTGGGTTCCTGCTGTGTGGAATATTGTTTTCCACCTTTGACTTTCAGTCTATGAATTTCTTTTTGAATTAAGTGTGTTTATGTCCAGAATATTGTTAGATCTTGCTTCTTGATCTATTCTGCCAGTCTATTCCTTTTGATTGGTGAATTGAGACCATTAACATTGATGGTTATAACTGATATGTATTGATTTATCCTTGTCATGATCTTTTCCTGTTGTTGGATTCCCCTTCTTTGCATTTAATTTCTTTCTTTGCCTGATGGATTCATTTTGTTAGGCTTCATGGAGTTGTGACCCTTGCTGTCTTTTCCTAGGATATTATTTAGAATCTTTTGGTGTTGGTTTGATATTCAGGAGGTTCTTCAAGTGTTCTTTGTCGTGAAAGTATCTTATTTCTCCATTGATTTTGAAAGATAGTTTTGCAGGGTATATCAGTCTGGGTTGGAGGTTGTTTTCCTTTAGGGCTTGAAATATTTCACTCCAGGCTCTCCTTGACTTGAGGGTTTGTGCTGAGAGTCTGCTGTTATTCTAATGGGATTTCCTTTGTATGTGATTTGTTGTTTTTCTAACTTCTTTTAATCTTTTGTTCTTGTTTTGGATATCTGGAATCTTGACTATTACATGGCTAGGAGTATTTTTTTTTTTATCATAGCTAGTTCGAGTTCTATATGCCTCTCTTATCTTTATGTCAAGTTATTTTTCCCTGTTTGGGAAGTTTTCAGTGATTACTCCAATCAATCTTAAGTTATTCTTTTTTGCATCATCTAGTAGCTGTTGGATTGATTTCTCATGGTCTCTTGTTATTTTTAAGAAATCTTTCTTTTCATGTTCACTAAGTGCCATCCTGTCTTCTATATCTGAAATTCTGTCCTCACATTCATTTATTTTCCTGTGGAAACTTTCAGTGGAATTTTTAATTTCTTGGATATCTGCTTGGATATGTTTTATGTCTTCCAATTCTTTCCTATGTTGAGCATTCATGGATTCTATCATTTTCCTGTGCTTCTCTATTTTTTATCTGTATCTGCTCTAGAGTTATTAATCATATCTTTCATTATGGTCACCATCTCTGTTGCTATCTGAGAAATTATTTCTGATTTCATTTCCACAGCCTCTTTCATTACCTCCCTTGTTACCAGTTCAGGGAGTCCAGGTGGTTGGTTTTTGGTTTATTCCATCTCTTCTCCCAGATTTGCTTTGGGTGATCTGGAAGTCTCAGTTTGCATCTTGTTTAGGTGTCTTCTCATTTCTATTTTTTTCTTGTCATTCATGTTGTTAATGTTTTTGGTTTAATTCCTGGCTTTATGCTTGTAAGTTGTTTATTGGGAGTATCTTTATTGCCAGTATTTAGAACCCATAGGGAATGACTTCTTCTCAGAGGTGTCTTCTGGGTTTAGCTGGTTTTTGGGTTTTGGGTCTGTCATGACTCTTAGGCAATCTCAGTCTTGTTATATCAGGAAGAACAACTGACTAGAGCAATCATGTCATCTTGGCCAAAGTAATACAATCAGCATCAACAATAGCATCAAACACAGCTTAGAAAATGATAAATTGTGGTAGCTATTAATTTGTCACCTTTAGCCACATGAACTGAATTTGTGGTTATATATCAAAATGAAGGAGCAGTCAGAAATATGTTTGCAGTAAATAAGCTCCTTCATATAGCAGATTTACCCTTCGGGAAAAAAACTTAGATGGAGTTTGGGGGGTTGGGGGATAGGCGATTGAAGGAGAGGGAAAGGTTAGAAATGGTGCTAGAGGACTGGGAAGATCAGCCCACTTTGGGAAACTAGTGAAGACAAGAAGAAAAGAGAGAAGAAAGGAACAAAAACAAGAACAGAACAAACTAACAGCAACAGTAAAACTAGAAACTGTATTCATGCTCCTATAAAAATAAGAAAGAAAAAGAAAGAAAAGAAAGAAAGAAAGAAAGAAAGGAAGGAAGGCAGGAAGGAAGGAAGGCAGGAAGGAAAGAAAGAAAGAAGGAAGGAAGGAAGGAAGGAAAGAAAGAAAGGAAGAAAGAAAGAAAGAAAGAAAGAAAGAAAGAAAGAAAGAAAGAAAGAAAGAAAAAGAAAGAAAGAAAGAGAGAGAGAAAGAAAGAAAAGTCTCCTTCAAGGTGTGTCTTTGCTGTCACTGGTATACAACGTGTGCAGCAGCATGCAGAACTGAGTCGATTAATCTCAGCAAGCCAGCTGTAGTCTACTGAGATTAGGGCTGGTTTCTGGTTGCTGGGCCGCAATTGAGCTCCCTGACCTCCTGCAGGTTTGAACTCTGCAAGGTTCTACTGCAGGTTTGAGCCACCCTTCCCCATAGCAAATCTGGGTGCTGTAGGAGCTGTTGGTTCCAACAACTCATCCATCACTGTATTCTGCTGTGTCTTCGCTCTCCCAGGGGGCTTCAATTTTCAACAACAAGCCTAAGAGAGGCCCTCTTTCTGCTACTCACCACTGCGCCATCTGCTTGAGCTCATAGCAATGGTCTCTCTGGCCTGGGGCCTCTGCCACATGGATTCAGATCCCTGAACAGCTGAGCAGGCTGGGGTCGGCACACATCTCCGGTGTCCGTCGAAGTGGACACATGTCTCATAGTCTCCCAGTTTCTTAAGTCTCTGCAGAAAGACAAAATAGTATTCTCTGATATTTATGTAATACTTCGTTATGGTCTGAGTGCATGTGAACCCCCCCCACGCGCATGCATTGAAATCCTGCCCCCTAAGGTGAGGGCTTTAGCAGGTGGGGCCTTTGGAAGGTGACAGGTCACAAGGGCGAGGCCATCAGAAGAGCTAAGCGCTCTTCAGGAGCAGACCCCAAGGAGCTGCTTCATCCTTTCTAGCTGGTGAGGACACAGCCAGAAGGGTCCCTGTGGCCCAGAACCTGGGTCCTCATCAGACTCTGAATCTGCTGGAGACCTGACCTTGGACTTCCCAGCCTCCAGAACTATGAGAAATAAACTTTTTCACAAGCTCCCAAATTTATGGCATTTTGTTACAGCAGCCAGAGGGACAAAGACATGCTAAATTCTAGAATAATGAAATCTTAATTCTCTTATCAAGTGAATCATGCGAGTTTTCTAATGCAAGTTTTACAATTATTTTAGTTCTTTGACTTTCTACAAAATGTATAAGCCTTTTCCTTCTACTGTCCTTTCCCTTCTACTGCTTGAATATACTCTGGATTGAGTTCTCTTGTTTGTCATCAATGTTGCGTTGATTTTTCTTTGTGTTGTTTTGGTCAGTTGAATATTATAAGCTCCTTGTGGCAGCAACCCATATCTTTTATATCTTCTTATCGGCATAGCATCTAAATTAGTAGAGTACTTGCTGCACCTTCATTTGTGTGAACTGAAGATAGTGTCTAGAAGGGACTTACAAAGTGCTATGTCCCTTTCTTCCTTCCTTCCTTTCCTTTTCTCCCTTTTCTTTCTTTCTCTCTCTCTTTCTCCCCCCCCCCCCTTTCCAAGGATCAAACAACTCGGGTCCCTGCACTTTTGAGGCAGGCAGCACCACTGAGCTAAATCCCGGCCCATTTCTTTCTTTCCAGAATCACACTAACATCAATCTAAAGTGATAAAAATCAGTCCTTCTGTTAAGCCCCAGAAAAAGTAGTTTCTGTCACCTCTAGAGGCATTCCTATCTCATACTAAAAATGCTTACAACAAAGGGGAAATAAAGAGGATCAAGATATGATATGTAAGGCCTGGGGATTTAGTTCAGTGGTGCCGCCTGTCTCGAAAGCGCAAGGTCCTGAGTTCAATCCCCGATACCAAAAAAAAAAGATATGATATGTATATGTACCAATACCCCCACAATAAATGTATTTACTATGTATTGCAAACACATACTAATTTAAAATGAGAGGAAGAAAGTGCTTACAGAGGGAAATATATAATTATATAAAATACAATTTTTATTTTATAATTTTATGGATTGTAAAAT